ACACATTCAGTAAATGCTTTTCCTCCGTTAAAAGTTCCCCAAGGAAACTCGAGGCAAAGAACTGTAAATGAAAGAGAAATTAAGATTCTCAGTTCATATACTTTGTATTCTAATGATTAAGAATAAGGGAATTATGCCAGGAATAAGATAGTAAATTTAGTTGTATGTCAGTTGATTTATATAATCTGACAATTTAATACCTATGTAAATACATGTGTACATTTACCTGCGTTGTTGTTACTTGTTTTCGTTAGGTTTTTTTTCCCTACACCTGAATAGCCCATATAAGTTTTGGGCAAAATTGTATGTCACATTGTTCAGTGTCATGTGATGAAACAACAAAAGACCGTATTGGCATGTCCTAAAATAGGGCCTAATCCTGTTTCTTTTTAAATCAGTGGGAGTTTTGCTGCCAACTTGAATATTGGTTTGTCTGACTTGACCAATCTGGGCCTGAATGGAGGAAGAGTAAATACTTAATGACTACAAGCAAGAGGGTAGAATTAAGAATGCCATAGAATATTTAATTACGAATTTCCTGATATGTTAAAGAGTTAAATCATAAATCAAATTATTTTTTTCATGGAAACAGTGAGAGTCTATCAGTATTTTTGTTGTAATGAAAATCTACATATGTACAAGTTAGAGCTTCTTTCTCTTTCACCCTGGAGCATCTTTGCAGACACGAGGAACAGTATAGAGTCGTCATTCATTCCTGTCCATGGTTTGTTCCTCCATTAACCCCAGCCTGGTCATGTCCCTGCGTATGATGTCCCACCATCTAGTCAGTGGTTGGGCTCTAGGTTGAACTGACCTTGGCTGTGCTTGCATTATTTACTTTGGCATCCTGTTATCTGCTTATCTTCGGCAGTGTCCCCACCCCTGTAATTTTTTCAATTGTAACCAATCCTGTACCCTGATTTCACATCCTACTCTCCTTCTAACTTTACATTTGTCTTAAAATCATTCCACTTTACATCCACCATCTTTCAAAGAACTTTTCATCTCCTCTATCTCCAGCCTTCTCATGTCTGTTTCATTTAATGCAGCTGCTTCCAGACCACAGAGTAATACTGTTAGTATGCTGGTTTGATAAATTTTCACTTTAGTACCAAATATAATGTTTGTACCAGTCCATAATTTCATCCATTTCTGTGCAGCACTTGTAGCTAAAGCACATTTCCTTGTAACCTCATCCTTGATGGAACTGTCCTCACTAATCAAGTGTCATAGGTATTCACAAGATTCTACTTGTTCTATGATGTAGCTTCTGCACTTTATCTATTGTCCCTTTTCCAAGATGCAACCACTTTGTCATTTTGGCATTTATAGTAAGCTGAAGTTGACTACACCAGTTTTCCAAGAGAGTGAAGAGTATCATCATCAATGCAAACATGTCTGCCAGTTGTGCAAGGTCATCTGCACAAGTTAAGGAGCTTAACTCTCGATCAGAGGTGGGCATGTGGCCTGTCAGGGTAATTCACTGGGGGGCCGCGAGACAGTTTGTTTACATCGACTGTCCGCAGGCATGGCCGCCCGCAGCTCCCAGTGGCCGCAGTGCACTGTTCCCGGCCAATGGGAGCTGCAGGAAGTGGTGCAGGCCGCAGGGAACAGTGCACTGTGGCCACTGGGAGCTGCGGGCAGCCCTGCCTGCGGACGGTCAATGTAAACAAACTGTCTCGCGGCCTGCCAGTGGATTACCTTGACGGGCCACGTGCGGGCCACAGGTTGCCCACTACTGCTCTGGATCAGCCATTGTTACACCCTCCAACTTGTCTAATGCTCTTAATGTCCAGTTTAATAACATGATGAAACATGACTGATTCCGTGGCCTCTTGTCTTACACCAAACTTTGATTTGAACCAGTTGCTTTAGTTCCCTCCAATTCTTATGGCATTGCAGGAATCTTTGTACCTAGGTTTTATAACGGCAATTCTTTTATCTGGAACTCCATATAATTTTGCTGTTTTCCATAATGCTTCCCTTCAAACTGAATCAAATGCCTTTGTAAAGTCAATGAAAACAGCAATTTCCATTTCTTTAATTTCCATTTTTGCTTTTTTTTCATCAACTAAGGCCAGGTCTGAAACCGCACTGTTTCTCACTTACTTTTTCCTGTAAAATTGTTCTTACTCTGTTGACAATTACTTTCATCATGATTTTTTCGGATCCCAACCATAAGCTTATACCTCTATAATTATTGTATCAATAGGATCTCCTTTCTTCATGATCGGTACAGTTATTATTTTTAGACAGTCATCTGGTACCTCCTGTTACTCCCATACCTTCTTTATGGTTTTCTAGTACTTCGATATCATTGTCCTGCCAGTTTTTAGCAGCTCAGCTATTTTATTGTCTGTTCCTGCAGTAGCAAGTTAGAGCAGCCTAACTAAATTCTACTTGCCCATTCGTCTGGCACAAATATATTTATTTATAATTTAGAGGCAAGTAAATATAATTACAATGTTCCCTAATTTCAGAGTAACACATTTTTGGCTCCTGCTGGAGCTAGTCTCACTATGATGTGAGAATGTCCAACTTTAATTCAGTTTTCAGATTACTCAGGAAGAAAAACTCTGAGACTGTCTTCCCCACTTCCTCGCCTTTTGGGAAAAAGCAGCCAATCACAGGTACAGCAGTAGACAGATAGAGTTCTCTTCCCATCCCCTCAGGAGGGGGAAGAAGAAGCAGCAGACACCATTCTACAAGAAGGCAAAGAAGAGGGGAGAGCAGAAAAAGCCCAGTAGCCCAAAGCAGCTCTCTACGCCTCCCCTACTATGAACAATATATCAGTTCCCCTGTATCCTCCGTCTTCCATCTCCCCTCTCCTGCTCTCTAATATTATAACCCCAGGTCTGGGAAGTAAGAGAAGACTAATCCCTTGGAGCTGCCTTCCCCTCCCCCCACCAGGTATAAGAGAGTGGGTAGGCATGAAGAACCTGTGAGCTACTCCCCCCTAGGCCCACGAGAGAGGGAATAAAAATCCTCAGGGAGCTTTCCCTCCCCCCAGGCCTGGTAAGGGGTTTGGTACCTCTAAAGTTGCAGGAGGAATCTAGTTGAGCTGGGAGGAAAGAGCACGTGTGAGGTTGGGTGGCAAAATTATGCAAAATTATTGTGTGGCTCTGTGGGTGGAGTTACTGTGGAAGCTGGGGCACCAAACTGATGTAGTCTGCCAGAAGGCGCATCGTTCCAGGGATGGCACAAATACCTCTCTCCAAAAAGGAGGCAAACAGCCTCCCCTAAGGCTCACTCCTCTAAAAGTTTGAAGGTGAAATCCCAACCGATGTGCCCACGCTGAAATCCAAGATGGCACTGACTGTCTTTTTCCCATACCAAGGACCATGCTGTCTCTGGTACCAACAGCAAGGCACCAATCTTGGCCTCATCCATTTTGGCACGAAGGCCCATTACTGTGGTAACACCTGAGACCCTGTCTATGGTCATCCATGGGATTTGCATTTTGGAGTAGAGAGACCTTTCTGAGGGATCGGCACTAGAATCACTTGTCATCGAGAGGCTACAGGATGTTATTGCCAAACCACCCTTCAGTGCTGATTGCAAGACCGGGCAGGGCATGCCTGACAGAACTGCCCCACCATTGGAAGACGTGTATTCATTTTCTCTTCCTCAGAAGAACATAGCAAGATTTCCTTCCCTGAGCATAGCCCCTAATCCCTGTGGCGGCACAATGTGTGTTTTGCAGAAAGTAGTGGGAAGACTCCTTGAGGATTACCAGGGCCATTTGTTGTATTTGAACTGGTGAAGGGACAACTCACATCCTCTTACACATCTCCAAGCAAATAGGCGACTGCTTGTTAGTCTTGTTTCAAAGAGTGGAATCTGTGTGAAGAATAACTAAAAGAAAGAACAGTTATGTACCATGCAGTGACTACGTATATTTTTTTGAGATGTGCATGCAGATTCCGCAACCTGCCTTCCATCCCTGCTAATCAGAGACTGCTCTTATGGGATTTTAATTGGCAAAGGCAATTGAGGCCTCTCCACTCTATGCCCTTGGCTTTGTGGGGTGAGAGATAACTCAGGGCACAAGCATGGTCCTTTTGGACACTGCTATTCAAAAAGAATCCGATCTTGCCTACATGGGGTGCATGTGCACCAAGAGTAGAATCTGCATGGACAACATATCTCAAAGAACCCCACCCATACACCTGAGATGTATGAGAAGTTCAGATGCTATGTGGGACATGACCTGTTCTGGGATTTATCTTATATATTTAACTGACTCCTATTAGCATAGTATCTGAGCACCTCATAATCTTTAATATATCCATCATTACAATGCCCCTGTGAAGTAAGAAATTGCTGTTATCCCCCCCCCAAATTGATATTGCTGAGGACAGATTGATAATGGGTGGTGTTCTGAAACCTGGTGTGTTATACTGTCATTTATGAAGAGGAAACACATATTCATATAATGTGCATTTTTTATTATTTAGAGTGTATATTGTTAATGTAAAAACTTGTGAATCCTGGCTGTTCAACCATAACAGATATGATAATTAGTTTTCTTTGTAAAGGTGGGCAAATAAATTTGTTCCTGGTCCGGTAAATTTTCATTATAGTTTTCCAAAACGGAGTTAAAGATTTTCACTGGAAAGAAGAGGAGACGGAGACAGAATCAAAAATCAGTCAAAGTCTCCTGGATGAGTCTGAAGAATACTGATGTTGCTCTCCAGTGAGATTCATTTATCAACATCTTTATAGTACACGTAACCATAGTATCTGAAAAACTATATTCAGGATGGCACTATGTTGATCATCTTAAAAAAAAATTACAAAACCAAGGATTTAATTAAGTTGCCACTGGCAACGTTGTGCTTTCAAGCCACAAGTTACAGCATGGATTTAAAAACTAGTCAATGTTTTACTTGATTCCCAAAAAGCCATATGCTCCATTAAATGACACTTCTATCAGTGGAGTTATATCAATTTTAATAAAGTTTTGAGTGGTGATTATGCAGTATTGTTTTTTTTTTCAGGATGCAAGACATGCAGCAGAAGGAGAAATATACACCAAACTGAATCAAAAAATTGATGAATTTATTCAGCTTGCTGACTATGATTGGACAATGTCTGAGCCTGCTGGAAGAGCCAGTGGATATTTAATGGACCTTATTAATTTCTTAAGAAGCACATTTCAAGTTTTTACTCACTTGCCTGTAAGTATACAAAATAGGCTTTGTTTTCAGATTATTGGAGTCCTATTTTCTATACATTGTAACTTCTGATTTTTGGAAGAAAATAGCTTTTAAGTAAATAATTTAGGGTGATAGACATGATTTCAGATTGCTTACATACTAACTGATGCATTATTCAGTGTAGAATTATGTATATTATGATTAACAAAATTATAAAATATTTGTGAAAGATTTTACTTTCAAAGAACAAAATAAAATGCAGCACCCTCAAAGCTTTTTTTTTTTACTCAACTACTACTAGTAGTAAACATTCATACTGTTTTTTAGATCTCATAAAACTTAAATCACTTCAGGCCAGATTTTCAAATGTTCATTTTAATTGTGCCTGCAAATTCTGTGGACAAGTCCACTGATCCACAGAATGCAAACCTAATTCGACTCATGCACATTGTGCGTGTGATTTTGAACAGCATCTAAAAATTTAAACCCAAAGCTCTGTTTGAACTAAAATATTTTTTGTTAAAAGTGACCAGTCTGACTGGTCACTTTTCAAGACAAGTGATCAACTACTAGGGTGCATTCTGCTCTTAGTTTATACCATTGTAGATCTGGAGTAACTCCAATAAAATCAATGGAATTACTTCCAGTTTATATCCGTGCCAAAGCAGAATTTGGCCCAAAACATCTAGCCTTTATGGATTCATTACATTGTGCTTCAGCATGTTCCTTGTTGCTATTGCTTGATGTGTGATTACTTTACCCACATTCAGTGCCTCTGGACAGGTGTACAATCTTATTAATAAATATAACATATTTCTGTTAGTCTGGAGTTTCTACATCTCTGTTGGAAGTTAAATCAAGAAAAGAATTTCACCTATGAATACTATAGCATAATTACAGTAGGCAAGGGAATTAGAGATTTTTTTGCTTTCCTCTGAAGCATCGTATATTTGGCCATTTATAGAGGAGACAAGATATTAGAGTTGGTGCACAAAGGGACAGAACTGGTATTCCAAATCTAATATTAAAGTGGCTTTGATTTTTCTCTGTCTTAGTTTTCCCACCACTCTTAAAGTATTCCTTTTTTGGCACATAAGGTTAATAGCTGTGTGAAATATGAGGGACATTTCTAATCCTCTTTTAGGGGCTATGCTTCTTTAGTCATAACTGATATACTTATATGGCTTATGGCCATTTGCACTCATGGTGGGATGCTACATTTCGGTTTGGTGACACTGTTTTACATGTTAAGTAACCCTGGGTTTAGTGGGCTAACATAAGTGCCATTTCCTTGCAAGAAGTTGCCTATCTGTGCCAACATTGTAGCATTGAATGGGAAAGAATGGAAAGAAGCAGTTATATCAGTTAACAATTGAATAAAAAGAATGGAAGGGATATACATTCATATTTTAGAGCATAACCTAACCTCTATCTGAGAAGGTGAGGAAGAAACTTCCCCTGATGGACAGGTTATTCTGTAATTCCCTACTTTGGGTTTCTTGCATTTGGTATTGGCCACTGTAATAGACAGGATACTGAGCTAGATGGACTACCAGTTTGATCCAGTATTACAGTTCCAGTAAAATGTAGGATGGTATCTTTTTGTCTTATTCTGGGCATCTCTAATAGAATAACCTAGGACACATTTGCTTGACCTAGTTGATTGATTTATGAACAAGTCAACAGAATGTGGAAACCCGTTCCACAGACCTCTGCATATAAATATTAGTGTGAGAGTTGTAGAAATTATATGAAAATTAGTTTATTATTTAATTCTTTTCCTTACCATTGGTTTCAGAGTTTGATTTGTAATAGTGGGAAATATTTGTCCTAAAAAGGATGTTTATAATAAAGGTATTTTCAATAGACAAGCCCACAAAACTGCCTCGTTTTCATAATTAAACAAGTTAATAAAACGTAAACAAGCTTAACCTTAGAGATTTTGATGTCTTAAGCAAAGCTAGATTGTAATGTGCCACATATAGGATTTTGGATGGGATAGTTTTTAGAAGGACTTTATATTAACAAAATAAAAGCTTCACAATTTTACTTCAAGAAATTGCATTGGTGGTAGAAATATCATGAATATTCAAACATATATTAATAGTTCAGAACTCTTTATATCCAGAAACTAATTTTAATTTTAAGTCCTGCTCATTTGGTTGTGGGTATGGTGAGGAAAGAAAAAGATACAGGGAGCCTCTTCTCCCTCCACCCCTTGTGTATCCACATAGCAGAAAGGCAGAATATAATTCAGGTGTTTGCTAGTCTGGAGACATGGCCACCTTGCTCCCATGAGCTCTCCATAGCCTGATTCAGACATGGTGTGCTGCCTGTTGGAGGATGGTTAGACTCCAGTCTGCTTGTGCATATGGTTTCATAAGCATATGCACATCAGAAGGTTACACATTTTGATTCCTGTGCATCTGACATTAGAACCTACTTCATTTTTGGAATATGTATAAGTACCTCTAAATGTATAGAGACTGTCACGTCCGTCTGTGTGTGTGCCATGCTTGCATATGGGCATATACTTAGATGTGTTTGTATTGATGGGGACATAACTTTAAAAAAACTGAATATAAAATGTAAAAATTTGTTTTATACAGTTATACTATTTTATGTTTGAATCTAAAGAACACAAAACAGGCTCACTATGATCTAAGTTATTACATCTAGGTACGGCATGGTAAAGGTGACAACCCAAACTGTTCAGGTTTTGCCCTCATAGCAACTGAGGCATCGCTGAGATGTCTCTCTAGCATTGTTTCTCCTTAAAGTTCTCATATACTCCAGGGATGTAGGTGTACTGTACATTAGCAACAATGTTAGCATAAAAGGCTTGAAAAAGGAAAATATTAGTTAGTTCATCCAAATACCATTAATAGTAAAATCTGTGAAAAAATAAATTACTTATGGAACAGAGACTTTATTTAGCCTTGCAGTGTCCTAAAGCATTCCTAAGTATTGCTTGAATGAAATAGATTAATAAATTACTAATAACCATGTGCTTTGTAGTTTGGATGTTAAATATACATGATGAAAATATTTTTAAGGAACCGTTTAATTTTATTTTAAATATTTTAATAAATATATCGTTAATACTTATTACAATTAAAAATTGCTAAAAAATCAACTCAGAAAACGTTACTTGTGGAATGTGTTACTTTGGATTTTTTATTCTGGCATACAGCTCATTCCCACTGAAAAAGACAATCTTTATATTAAGTACCCCATTTCAATTTAATCACTTTTTTGTGTCTCTTTGCAAAATAATAATTTTTAATTTGTTTATACCTTTTTTTCTTACATTTTCCAAGGAATTTTGACTTTCTTTGAATTTTAGAAAATTTATCAGTTTGATATAGCAAAATATTTTTGTCTTCTGTGAGTGTTAAGAATATCAAAACTTTATATAGCAAATTAAGCCTTCCTAGATCTAGGTATTTTTCATTCATGCAGACTATGGCAAAATAATTTTAGTACTTAATAATTAAGTATCAAGATTCGTAAAATAGAAGTTTTCTGAAGAATTTTCTTCCCTTTTACTGATGCCAACATTTCTTTTGATGTTGACAGTACATTTTAATTTTTTGTTTTGATTGCCTTACTGGTTTCCTTCTCAGAATAACAACAATGACCATGCAGCTATGTCGGTAAGTAGATGAAAGATGAAGAAAAAGCATGTAAACTGAAAAACTATGAACTGCCTGCAGGCTTATTGCTTCAATATTTAATCACTTAATAAATCCCCCCACCCACAAAACCCTTCCATTTGTTTGATGACTCACTGGGTACCTCGTTGTGTGGTTGCATGCAAGAAACGGGTTAATTACTAACTTTGGTCTTTCGTTCTTTGGGACAGAAGGAAGCCTTGCAGAAACATGATAGGGTGTGCATTGTATCACAAATGAGATAATTCAGAGGAGACTTTAAGACCTTTTGGAAGTGAGGTCAGGTGTCAAAATGCAGCTGTGGGATGTGCATACAGAATAAGGTTAAAATGGAAAAACAGTGGCACAGAATAAAGATTTGGTGAAAGTTCTATATCCCTTTTGGTGCACATGCTGGCTGGAGTTGAAGGAATGTCTGCACTCAAATGTTTTTGTGTAAAAAGATGATGGATTGCATTTAGGGATTCATCCACGCCCTGGTTATTTTCAGGTCATCAAGTTTTTTTTAAAAGCAGTTTACTTTGAACAACCATAGATTATTTCCATGATAATGAATAATGAAAATTGCTAAATTAATATTGGGTTTGTTAGCAATTGTTTCGGAACATGGAGTGGCAGAATTGTCTTTTTTTTTTTTTGTAATTTCACATGCATGTAGAATTTTGATTTATCATACCCACTTTGGTTTTATTTGATTGCATTATTCTCATATTTTAAAAAATGAAAGATTTTGTAAGGCATTTATTATGTATGATATTGAAGTAAATGTTAAAAACATTTATTTTTAAAGGTAGTACATATTTTATATCTTTATTTTTGTGGAGCAATATATTTGAAGTATTTTGAGATGTTGGTTATTTTGTTTTTGCTGAATCTAGCAAAAGCTTTGCTACTAAGTATCCAAAGAATTTCCAGAGTCCAGCTAACATAGGGTATGTTTTTTTTTATTGAACGTAAACATGGAGATGTGTAGAAACTGCACTACTAGAATTACAAAAATGATGTGCTTTTAGTAAAATAGAAACAAAATCACATATATTAAGTTTAAAGGAATATGTCCAAGTTTTGTGGGCTCAAAATTATTCCCTTTAAATGTTTTTTTCCTGTAGTTTTTTAAAGGGCAGGATTCCTCTGTGTCTCCTTCAACAACAGTCCTCCATCATAGTGTGTATGTGTCTATTGTAGTTCACAGCTTTGTATCTGGAGCAGACAAACAGTTGGATTATTTTTAATAACACATCACTCCTAGGACTGGCTGTCAAGTTGGAGTCGTCCTGATCTCCAAATTTGGGGGGAGAGAAGGAACTAAACTTTCAAAGTAATTTGGAGGGCAGGGGGGTGCATAAACCTGAATAGTGTTACTTAAATTGTTGCTTCTTTTAACAAATGGAAAGGAATTTTTGTTGTACGTATATGAAATTATATTATTTTCCGCCACTCTCCTTTACCTTTTTGACTCGCATCTATTTAGGATTATTTTCATTTTATGAATTCCAATTTTTAGCATCCATCCAAAGTTTGCTGTGGGTACCGTATTTTATGCAATTAAAACTAAAACGTAATGGACTGCTGATGCTCACCAAACCCCTTTAATAACAGTAACCCATCAAACAACCCACCATATTCCATCAACCTGCCTTCCCCACCCTCAAATGACTGGGGGGGAAAAGTGAGCTCTGAAGAATGTTCAGAAAATAGACTCTGGTAGACCAAGGAGGATTAGGACCAATTTCCAAAGCCAAGATCCCTCTGGAAAAATGCCCTACGAGCAGCATTCTCTCTTCTTTACTGAGTCAGCTGAAGTTTGAGTAGCCATCACCATGAACTCCACTCAAAAATATATTGGCGGATAGTGTGGATTCTGGAACACTGGCAGTAATGTGTTTCCTCTGTGAAACAGAACCTTAAATAAACAGGCAGCCATGTTCTGTACTACCTTCAGTTTTCAAATGAGCTCAGTATATATCCCCATGTGCAGTGCATTATAGTAATTTAATCTGCCATTGATAAAGGCATGCATAACTGTAGCAAGATCTGCTTCCAAAGGGTACTTCTTGAAAGTCACATTTGGAAAAATGCACTTTTGACCAAAGCTGCTACCTCAGTATCCAAGATTAGCCCAGAATCTTAAAAGGACAAATACTTGTCCTTAATCAGGGGTGCTTATATTAATTGATAATGCTTCCTCCACAGCACTCAAGTTATTTCTGTCTTGTCCAGGTTGAGCCTTATCCAACTCGCAGTTCATATAGATAGTGGTTCACTGTACAGGGCATCATCAGCATGTTGAATGCACCATTGCCTTTGTCCCCTCACTTAACTTCTTAACCATCTCATAACACACACAAATTTAATTTAATCCTGTTAATGGATTGGTAATGGTTTATTTAGCAGAGGCCTCAGAACAGCTTCCTTAAGGATAGCCAGCATGTTGCCTTCCACCCCTAGGGAAACATTAACTGTCTTCACCAACAAAGATATTCTAGCACTTCCATGTATCACCAGTGAGAAAGGACATGGATCTGATTTGGTGACTGCTGGCTAAAACTTACAAAGAAAACTTGGTATATGTTCCCGTGAGATCATTTCCTGATCCACAGTGGTAAAGAACTCACTCCGCATTTGAGCAATTTGTTTTCTTCGAAGTAATCTGAAAATTCTTCACAGCAAGAAAGACTTTACTGTTTTCTTACGTGGCAGCAGTCCAAATTAACCAGACTGTCAACCACTCGGAAGAATTTCCCTGGGCAAGACTTTGGATGCTGTTTTGAAGGTGAAAACTACTTTCTTCGCTTTCTGCACAACCATTGTTGTTATTTATTATTTTCATTATGGTAGCATCTACAAGCCCCAGTCATGAATCAGGGTCTCATTTTCCTAGGCACTGTTCAAACACATAACAAAGAGACAGTCCCCGTCCTGAAGAGATTACAGTGGCATAAGACTTCAAAAAAGTCTTTTTGGCAACTGGTCACTCAGCAAGAGACTGTTTCATTGATGCTCAAGTACTCTCCCCTGTCATTTCATCTGTTGCAGATTATCTCTAAACCAAGATGACCCAAGAGGATAAAGACAGCAGCGAGGAGATTTAGATGCCACTATGCAGATATCAGAAAACAAAAGTTAATTAAACTATCGCTAGCTCAATAAATTGGTTGCGGAGTAGTTTCTTGAAGATCTTCTGGAAATTCCTCAGTTCAATCAATTTTTGAGAGTAGACCATCATGCCAGGTCTCTTGCCCCAACAAAAAAAAGTGCCTAACTTCAAATGAAGACTATAATGGTTTATTCATGACAAAAATGTAATAGCCAACTCCATTCAATTGAATCCCAGCCCAGATTCCAGATCCAGTGTGCTCATTTCCATTCTTAGAGCCAACAGTCAGGATTGTGGCTGTCAGCCATGAAATTCCGAGTTGATTCAGAAGAATTATCATCTGTTTGAACATTTGAAGTCCCCATGACTGGTTGGTCTCAGCAACTCCAGCACCTCTCTATATGAAATATGTGCATCGAGCCAATGTGTATGCTAATACTAGCCCCACCTTAGTCCCATCTTGGGATTCACAGACAAGACTAACAGATCTGATTTGGGAGTTGGAAATTTCCCATATGTGAGGTCAGAGTTCATAGCCTCATGCTGAACCATCAAATTGTCTGGAGATAATTGCACCAGCAACATTAATAGAAAATATTTCTATATAAAATGTTCAACATACTGTCCATGCAGGAGGCATATAAGAGTGCAGGGAGGGTCATGGTCAATCATGTCTTGATTGCAAAAGCCTGGGAGTACTACAGAGGCTTCAGAATTTAGGGGGAGGGGGGCACTTCACATGGTACTCAAGCATCCCTTCTAGCTGATGCTCAGACAAGAATCCAGGGTGAGGAAGTAAAGAAGGAAATAGGAATACCCAGAATTACCCTTGCTCTTGAAGTGAAGAAATAAAATTAATCTTAAAAACCACAGATTATGATTTATTTGTATTAAATTAGTGCCTAGAAATCCCAACTAACAGGCCTTGTGCTGGGCAGTGGATGCACACATAGTAAAAGAGAGCCCCTTCCCCGAAAAGCTTGCAATTTAAATAGAGAAGACCAGATAAAGCACAAGAATGAGGAAGTATAATTATCCTGGATGAAGGTGTATGCTGGTTCCATAGAAGATTAGCTTGTTCAGCAGGAAGTTGCCCTACATTCGAAGAATACCATTTCCTTTTCCTGCACAGAAAACCAGACAGACTTGTAACTGACATTGCATGGTGCGGAAAAGGAGGAGTGTGTAGTCCACAGTGCTGGACTCTTGCTTCCTCTTTAATCTACATTCTAACACCTACCCTCTCTTTTAATGGCAAAAAAAGCAAACAATATTCAGTCAGCTCCAATTAACATAAAAATCAATTACCACATTTAAATGTTGAACTCTTTGGAATGGAAAGAATCTCTTTCTCTTTCTCTGGTGAATCATCTAGCATACATTTAGGTGCTATAAATTTACTAAATCATGATACCTGTTATGTGGCAGTAAGGGAGTATGAGCCTCAACAGGTCACGCAAACCAGCTGTGCCCTGGGCTGACTGATCCAGAGTCGCAGAAGTGATAAGGGTATCTTCTTCAGCTGCACATATGGGGGGTGTAGCGCAGGTAGAGAGTTCATGTAATGAGCTTCCTGTTCTGTTGAAGGAGCCAGCATGTCTCCCAACACCACCACCGACACTCCTTGCTGCTGGGGTTGGAGTAATCCTATGTGATTTGTAATGGATCAGTATCAGATCTCTTAGCCAATGGTATGGAGGTGCATTGTCTTTTGGAGCTGTGCAGCCCTTGTGTGTCATGAAGTTCCTGCTGCCTCTGCTTTGCAGAAGCTACTAGGATTTGGCCGTATGAGTTTATTTTAATCTTCGGGTTCTTCTCACATAAACATCCTATATAAGCTTCACTTTTGTGGTTTATAGTGGCACTATACCTATAAAAATTTAGGTCCTCATCCTAAAAATCCATATGTATGTAGTCTCATTAAGTCAATGGGATGGCTTCTGTGAATAAAAGATGCAGTCTTGGGCCCTTATTTGGAAATTCAGGATATATTATAGCTTAAGTTCTGAAATAAATTAATTTGAAAACAATAGTGGATAATACTTGGTTCACAAGGATAAATGGAAATTTTTTTATCTAATAAGTGGGCTATCAGATAGTTGAAGAGTTCTTTCAACAGTGATGCATGTAGTTTGTTAATACAAAGTTAAAGATCCTTTGCTGCTTTAGAGGAAACTGTGGCTACTGAAAAAAGAATGATAAATTATTTCTCTATGTGAATTTTTAGTTTATTTTGATCAACCCTTTGGGGAGGAGGAATTACATAAATAGTGAAATTATGTAATTTTAAAATTCTCCTACTGTTTTAAGAAATAAAATTTTCATCTATTTATCAAAAGTTGGATTTGTTACTGCAATTGTTAAACAAAACTATTAATTAATGTGACTATTGAAGCGTATGTATTTTAGTTTTCTTGCAGTTTCAGCAAGTTTAAAAATTGCTTCATATCTTTTAATATAGTTAAATTAATTTTGAAGCTTCACTTTTTAGATTTAACAGACAAGTTTTCTTATTTTCTTTTTCATTGGGGATGGTAGTTTGTGTTGTTTTATTGTTCTTGTGATTGGCAGTGAAAGCCTTATTTCACAGCTTGCAGTGAGGAACTATTGGGTAAAGGGTGGTGGTGCTCCACAAGCTATAGTCAAAAGCTGTCAATCAGAAGCCCACATAGGCTACTTAGAGAATGGGTTTTCTTACTGACTTCTCCAAATGTCACCTCATGCTGTCTTTGATTGGCACTGCCTGGCAGGGAGGATGGATGAATCTGTCACCGGCTGGTTAATTGTGTTGCTGGTCTTAGCCTGACATCAGGTCTTTGACTCTTAAGTGGCTCAATACAAAACAAATTAGCAGATTGTAGTCATATTTCTCATTCTATATGCTTTGACTTTGTTGAATGCAGTCCATAAATCATATTGACTGACACCCTAGTGAATGATGAAAGCTGCTTTTGAGACAGCAAGTATGGATGTAGAAAGCAGTACCGTGAAGGTGCCATGGAAGGATGCATATGGCTGACCCTTTGGGAATTTCCTAGGAGCCAAATGTCTCTTTACTACAATTGTTCTTAAGAGAAAAGCTTTTGGGTACTACAGAAAGGATTTAATATGTCAGCAGATTCTTTTTTACAAGCTCCTTTGAAATATAAGAAGTTTGTCTAAGGGTTTTCTCTTTTTACAAACTTGTATTTCAGCAAAATGTAAAGGGTTGGTAAAAGTAGTTGCCTTTAAAAAATTTAGCAGGTGTTTTTGCTTATAGAATAGGGTCCTTGTTTCCTGAAATTTGTGTTGGTGAAATAAAAGAATATGCTTAGTAGATAGCGGCAATTATAACTTGTGTGAAGATGAGATGGTAGTAGTTTCTTCATAGAGGTCTGCAATAGTAGAATGCAATAAAACTGTTGAATTTATGCATGACATCAGATATGTTTATTTAATTTACTTGCTTGAAAGAGTAACTTCAAAAAACCCCAAACTTACAAATGCTAAATAGTAAGAATGCTTTAAAATTAACTGAACTAGTTTTATTCTGAAGTAGTAGTACATTATGATAATATTCATGGACGCGTAAGTTTACTTTTAAAAACATCCATTTTGAAAAATATTGAAAATAGTGATGACAAATTGTTACGTTATATAAGTTGGAATATAAATATAGTCAGACCTCATTTATCAGATATGAATTTGAAATAATGTTTCACATTTTCTAAACAAATTACTTGAATTTTTATTTTATTCTCCTATGAATAAGTGTTATAACCCTGTGCATTTTGAATTTGGAAATACTGAACATTGCAAAATAAATCTATAAAGGAGTTAAAATTAGTTTAGTAGAGTAATAACTCAGATTCTTGTGTGTGGAAGAAACGATAAGTTTAATAGATTTAGCCTTTTTTTTAACGTAGACTTACAAAAACCTAGTGATCTCACTGAATAGTTGTAAATTGTATACAGTAAACTCTCCCCTTATCACTCCTCAACTGTACCATGAGAACAATAAGCCTGTAGTTCAAGTGCATAGTTGGGAGTAATTTAAATGTTAGGATGTTTGCATTTTGTCATTTAAAATAAGCATTAAATGAACATATATTGATACTTATTTTAAAAAGTCCAACAGAATTATTTCATATCATGTATTTCTGTATCGTCACCGTTATCTTGTGCTCCAGTGCTATTGATACATGCCAGTTTACAACAATTAAGTTCAGAAGTTTGGTCAGAAAGGTAAAATGGAATCTTTTGTTTATAAGAATACACACTATGTTTGCATATAAAATAAATTGAATGTTAAATTTTTTCTTGACAACCTATTAATCTGCTTATACTGTTATTACATTATGGTGGCAGCATAAATAGGACATGGAGCTGATTTGATGGAGCAGTACATTAAACTGAAATGCACTAGTTGTTCCATTAAATCAAAATGACATTTCCATTAAGTATCTCAAACCTACTACATTGTAATTAAATGAATTGTGGCCCATTGGTTATCCTCCTCCCCTTTCCCCCCCCCCCCCCATTCATATTGATGTTGTTTTGCTTGGGGAATAGAGCTGCATGTCTCCCAATGTAATTACCATTGGGTTTGGGAGACTTTTAAGCATGCTGTTCTTGCATTGTTTCTTACATTCCTTGTTGGCAGTTCATCTGTTTCGGTCAAATATGTTATTTGCTCCTGCTTTACTTTTTTAAGGCTTTCAACTAAGAAATTGACATTTTAGATATGAAGCTCCTTACAGTTCAAGGTGTCCTAGTGCTAAAGATATATTAGTGAAAGTTGTTGGAAGTTCTAGTTTGACATCAGAACAGAGTGCATAATGTAATATCCATGAACAAAAGCAGGAAAAGTTCAAAGAAATTCCAAAATGATACACTGTATTATCTATATATTCTTTTGATAAATTCAATTATAACAGTAAATTATGAAAGCAATGCAAAATATTTAGCGCCAGATTTTGCTCTCCGATATTCATAAACATACAACTCTCATTGAAATGAATGAGTTGTACTTACATAACTAAGGGCAAAATCTGTCTCTTTATCCTTTAGAAAATAGTCTTAATTATTTTTTGGCCTGTAATTAAAATTATAGTAATAATTTAAAAGGTAAAGTTATTTGTATTGCACAAGGTATACTAAATCATTTCTCCTCTATAAAAATATGGTATATTAGTACTTGAGCTATGTTACAAAATAAATTATATCATTAACTGAGATCATTACATTAAAACATGTTTATTTAAAGGTACATTAAACCACAAGTTTATTAAAGCATAACATTACAATTTAACACAAAGATTTCTATGTTTTAAAAATATTGCAACATTATGGGTAAAAGATAGCTCTAGTGAGATAGTCATAATGAATAATTGTTTTGAAATTTCATCTTAATTGGTTATCCATCTGCAGTGCAACTTTCATATTTGGTTTTAAATTAACATTTGATTAAATAGTTTAGCATGGTCATAGCTAAATTGTGCTTTGTTTTATTAATATCTTGCAGCGGTAAATAATTTCTTTTGAAGGATTCTGTAAAAATTGTAATGAAAATGTAAATAACTGGATTGTGATTAGAAAATTATTTCTGTTTTGTACAGCAGAGGGCCACTATTCATTTTGTAAGTAGTTGATTTCCATGGACCATTATTTGACCTGTCAAATACTTTAAAAGTGTATGGACAGGCTTGAAGTTCGAAAGCAGCAGATTTTTGGGCTGGAAATCAACAGTTTAATATTTCTGTAATAATGAGCTATTATAGTAAAATACCCAGGTAAAAGCAAATGTTTTGATTCTATAAAGGTATTTGTCTGTTTTATGGTGTTACACATATGCAATGTGTCAATTTCCATTCCAGTTTTCATTGTGTTCAAAAATGTCGTCAGAAGGTTAACAACATATTTCAGCAACGAATATTTTTCATGATACTCTTCCAGTCTATACTCTTGAAAAATATTTGGATTTGTCTATGAGTCCAGAAAAATTACCAACTCTTGCTTAATACATATTTGGGTTGTGTTTAATGCTCCTAAAGATTTAATTATATTCAAAACTGATACAATTGCATCAAATACATTTTCATTAATCATTCAGTGTCTATTCTAAGTGTAGTTGTATTAAGAATTTGTGTGTGTATATAAAATAAAGTAATACAGGCCATTATCTGGTGGTATATAATTTGCTTGCTATCTTACAACGTGTTACCCTTTTTATCAGGGAAAAGTGGCCCAGACAGCTTGCATGTCAGCCTGCCAACATCTTTCAACATCCCTGATGCAGATGCTATTGGACAGTGAGTTAAAACAGATAAGCATGGGAGCTGTTCAGCAATTTAACTTAGATGTCATACAGTGTGAATGTAAGTAGAGAATTCTGAATGTTACAGTATTTGTATGTTTCATTATAACTGCCATGACACTAAAAAAAATTTCTTTATCTAAGCGAAGTAGTGATCCTCTTCTATAGCATACAAATTCTTTGTCTTTTGCTTATGCTTTTATTTAACCTATATTTTAAAGTATGGTACCATTTTTGGTTATGTAGATAACTGTGAGAATAATTTTCCAAATGAAGTTAAATTATTTAAATGAAAATATTAACTTATGACATCTCAATTTTTTAAAGGGTATTAAATATTCAGGACCCCAAAATGCTGACAGTTAGATGGTTTTAAATAAAGACCCTGAATATTAAGGCACCTGGAAAGCTTTTTAATGAAACTAAGCATTGCTTAGATTGAATTGTCCTTCTATTGCGTCTTCTAGTAGCATAATAATCATTATATAATACAAAGTTATAATCTACCATAAAATTACATACAAAATACTATGTTAAAAGAACATTAAGGTTTCATAGTCAGCCACTGAAAACTTAGGAAACGCCAGAATAGAGGTTGCCTGTGCAACCTTAATTCAATCCCCTTGTGCCATCTGCATTATGATACAGTCTTTAATTATATGATCACGTACTGTTTTTTCCACAGGCCCTGCCTCATTCAATGCACAAGATGGATGGTGCTCAATTAATGAGCAGCTGTTAAATATTTTGTCTGAGTGTTCAATGTGTGATCCCAGACCTTATTTACCTTATTTACTATTGAAATTTTGCTGTAAATACAGAATAATAATTACCTCATATGCTTTCTATGGTACTCATTACTATACTTAGCTGAGTGCTTCACAAACATTAATTAATTAATCTTCACAACATCCCTATGTCATGAGTGGATATTATTCCCATTTTACAGACAGGGAGCCGAGGCATAGAAAAAGTAAAGTCAAAAGTCTGTGTTCCAATCTAGTCTTTTTCCTCTCCCACCATCTGGCTCTTGTCTCTTCTGCGTTCAAGTCAGGCAGCTTCATCCTCCAGGGTGCCTGGAGGAGGAAGCACAGGAGAAACAGTCTCCATGCTCTCAGTTCTGGTGCCAGCCTATACCCCAGCCCAGAGCAGTTGACAGCAGCAGTTGCAGGGTTAGAGCAATGTTCAGTTGCTCCTTAGGGATGTTGCATGCCAGTCTGCTCAACACTAGGAGCTGTCAGGCAACCAAGGAAGGAATCTTTAGATAATTTGGGTGCTAATCTCTTAAGAAGTCTTTGCAGAAAACCTGCAAACTGAGTTTTTTTTCAAAGGCTTATTACTTGGCTAAATTTGGTCAGACTTTCACAGGAACATCAAAATGCACATCTTGACACACACCCCACCCCTATGCCAAATTTTAAATACCTACCCCAAAGCATGGGGGTACTAGAGCTTTACAAAGGAAAGATCACCACATTTTTTTTAAATGTTGAAACCTATTTTCCCTAGCCTTGTTCTCAAAAATGGCCAAACCATTTTGGCTGAAAGTTTCAAAAAAAAAAAATCAACTTGAGGTATTTTCCAACTTGGAAAATTCTAGCCCAAATAGTAAAAGTTTGGCAAAGTTATAAACTGAAAACAAGGGTTATAATATGTATGTTAATAACAGGCGGTGCTACCAGCCCTGTCGATAATAAAATGTAATGTGTATGGCTTTATGATTCAGAAGTTGGAGGCTATTTTACGATGTCTAGAGTGATTTTTACAATGGCTGGAAATGTTGCTCAGGGAACCATTACATATAGTAGACCGGAAGTTCCAATCATTCAAGAGAATACATTAGAATAAACAGAACTGTACTGTGATACATTTCATATTCCTGAGAGGAAAGACCTTACTAGAAAATGTTTTGTTATGTTCATTATTAGAGCCCCGTAATTTTTTTTAAAAATGTATGATTATTTGTTTGATTTTTGGGGAAGTTTATTTCATTTTATTATGGGAGGTCCTGAGGGAATGGGAGGGCAGGGGGGGCCCTGTGTGGAGGGTGGGTTCTGATCCTGGGGACTGGAAGGCCTTGACCGGGGAGTGGGGGGAGAGGTGCAGAGAAAGGCTGCCTTGCATTCACCGCACAGCAGTGGCTCCTGTCCCATGGGACTGGACGCAGCTCCCCTCACTAGGCGTTCCAGCCTAGCACCTGGGGTCACGGTGCTGCTCAGGATTGGCCTGGGCACCTTGCGAGCTGGCACACAAGATTGTAGCACCACTCGGGTTTGGCCCATCCATCCTCTGTCATGACAGAGGGGCTGGGGGGCCAAGTCTGAGTGGTGTTGGAACCTTGAATGCCAGGTTACAACGCCCAGAGTGGGAAGTCAGGCCCGGTCCTGTGTTGGGATATGTTTTTCATTTTATTTCTCTTTACAGGTTGTTTTTTCTTTTATTGCATATTATTTTGCATTTGTTAAAAACACACAGGGTGCTATTCATTATCTCAATCATCTCCTGCTTACCCAAAAACTGGCTGTAACAAGCAAAGCATAGCAATTTACTTTTTGTTAGAGAAAAAAAAATTAAACATAGATTATGCTACCAACAAATTAACTCTTATGATAGTTCAACGTAGTAACAAAGGCTAAGGGCTGTCCCTCAAGTATGGGTTCACCTGAAGCCCACCACTGGGTATCTTCTCTGGCACTTTTGTGGAATTTTTCAGTTCTTTCACTTTTTTCTCTCAAGCAGTGAGTTAACTAAGGCCTCTGCATAATCTAGCTCCAAGTCAGAATAGTCTTGCTGCTTTCATTGTTTTTATTTATTTATTTATTTATACATTTACATAGCATTAAAGATGAACATGGCACTTTGTAGAACAAATAATAGATTCCCTAACTAAAGAGCCTACAATCTCAGGATTCTCGTCCTGCAAATCCTTCCTCATTAATAGCTCTTACCCATGGAAGTAATCGCATTAAATGAATGGCAAAAGAGTTTACAGGATCAGGCCCAAATTAAGACAAGAACAGGAGTACATGCCAGTATATTTAGGGAAGGTGATAGAAGTTTAAAGGGCAGACAAGAAGACAAGTTCATGGAGTTGCTTGAGTGAGTAGTGCATGATCTTAAAGATTGCAGTCTTATTCGTCATGTTGCTGAGACTAGAGTTTACTTTGCCTTCTTAAATAAATGTGTTTGAGAAGTAGTTTAAGGGCAGGGTGGTTGGGTTCAAGAAGCTGGAAGGCCTGGTCATGCCTCCAAAGCACTGACAGTGCCTCCATGATAGCTTGCTCACACCTTAGCATTCCAGGGCATTCTAGGTCTGTGTTTTGCTTAGTGCTCCTTCACTTCCCTGCACTGACTTACAAGTATCCAGAGCTGCAGGGGATGGCAGCCTCCACTGGGTTTCTAATCCCCATCCTGCAGGCAGGGAATAGGTGGGCAAGACAGAGGGTGGGCAGAGCCTTTGTCAACCCCCAAACCCCACCAGCCTGCACAGCTGAGCTGGTGCAGAGGAGGTAATCTGGTCCAACTATAGGGCTGGCACAAATTACTCCCATTTGCTCCTCGTCTCCTCCCCTCTCCCAAGCAAGGGGGAACCAGGGACCAGATTGTGACTCTGGCACAATAATGAATAATGAAAAGTGTTAGGCAACCTTAACTACAGCCCAGGCATTGCTAACAGCTCTACCTATAATTCTGATACAATTAATACATATGTTTGCTATGTATAAATATTTTAGAGTTTTATTTAATTCTTTGAAAGAATTCTTCCTCTCCATCCCTTCCTGAGATAGTTATTCATTTTCTGGCAACATCTTTGAGGATATGCTGTTTACATCCAGATAATTATGTGGTTTATGACTATAAGACTCAGCATGTATGTGTAAAAGTGATACTTGTCCGTGTGTACCACATTAACTTCCCACTCCCTTCCTTCCTAAAGAGTTGTACCTGAATATAAAGACAGATTTAGTAGGAACTCCAGAGCCACTACCATATTGCTCATTGCTCAAATGCCATGGGGTTGGCTGAAGCGGTGATGTAGCGTTACTTTTTCTCTTAGATACTTTCACAACATAATGACCTGTTCATTGCTTGAGACCCAAAGTCTAATCCTGAATGTGGGTTTTTTGCCCTGTATTAGGTTGAGAGGGAATGCTTTTCCTTTTCCAACTTTTACTCAGGATAATTAACTTACATTTTCTATATTTCTAGAAATGAAATTAAACTTTAATAATCTTCCATGCCCATGGTTTTATTGGCCTTTCTTTTAGATTTCATTATATGTTTCAAAGAGACTTTTATAGTCTACCTCCTGAATATTATCCCAGCAGCAGGCCCTCCCACCTCAGGCCATACAAGGAAAGTGTGCCATGATGTCACAGAGAAGGTAGAGTTCCAGTAAACTGTGCTATAATCTTAGCAGCTCTCTAGTGAGAATGCTCTAAGTGACTTCTCAGTCACATATAACTTTATTGTTTACTTTTTCCTAACCAATTGAAGGATTTTGTTTTTCATCAGGACTATGTCTCTACAAGTTCTAGCTTTTTTGCTATCGTCCTGCTCAAAAACATGAGGTTAGAATGTTTTTACGGTGAGAAGTCTGATTTTTAATTTTCCCATAACTTAAAATTGGCCAAAAGGATGATGTTCTAAGTCCCCCAAAAATTAATTTAGCATATAGCAGAGACTAAGCATGGAAAATTTCAGAACAAAATGTGAATGTTTCCAAAAGTTGTGTGTGTGTGAGGTGAGGGACCGGGGGAGTAATAATTTTATGGAAACTGTTTTCATGCTTAACTATAATGGATAACCCCAGGTGCCTTGTAGTATTTTTTTATATATATACAACTGTTGGTAAAATTTTAACTCTTTCTGCAATGTTTTTAGTGTAAAGTATAACAATTTCTTTGCAGATATATTTGATCAAATATTCAATATTTCCTTTGAAGTGTTTAGCTACAGCTAAATAAGAGTTTATTTAATGTTTGCTGAATAAGTATGTTACAAAAAATACCATCTTATAATGTGCAGAATAAGGAGTAGGCACCATAGTCTGCCCAGAGA